GCAGGCGGATCTCTGTGAGTTAGAGACCAGCCTGGTCTATAAGAACTAGTTCCAGGACAGGCTCCAAAGCCACAGAGAAACCCTGTCTCGAAAAACCAAAAAAACAAAAACAAAAGCAAACAAACAAACAAACAAAAAACCTGGGTTGGTGGGGGAGGGGAGGGGGTGCACACCTTTAATCCCAGCATTCGGGAGGCAGAAGCAGGTGGATCTCTATGAGTTCGAGGCCAACCTGGTCGACAGAGCGAATTCTAGGACAGCAACAAAAAGGCAGGAATGGTCTGCTGTGGGAGGGGCCGTGGTGCCACTGTGTGCAGGGGAGTGCCCAGGTCTGAGAGTGTGCAGTGACACTATGTTTGTGCAAACTTAGCTGAGTGTCTACATGTCTTGTTATCAAACCTGAATTTTCAAACTCCTACTGTGTGCTCTGGGCCTCTACTATTTTTTGCTTTTTTGAAATTGTCTCACTATGTATGCATGTGTGGCCTGAATTCGTTGTATAGCTCAGACTATCCTCAAACTGTCCTCCTGCCTCCCCAGTGTTGAGGTTACAGGCATGTATTATTACACCCAGCTAAGACTCTCTGTAGTTGACTTAATTTTCTCAACATTCTTTGGCTGAAAGTTTCTATCCACCTCCGTTTTATCACTGAAGATGCCAGGCTCATGTGCCTGACTGGGATTGTCCCTGTCCCTCCTGGACAGATTGGCTGTCAGGCATGGATCATGCTTCCCTGCACCCTGCCCCAGCCTTCCTCTGCCTTTACTGTGACCCACTTTGAGAGGAACAGGGATGGTGTGCCCACAGACCATCCCAGCCCTGGGCCCAGTAGTCTGGGAAGGTCAGCATAGGTGGGGAAGACCTTTTGAATCACCTCATTCTAGCTGCCTGGAACAGCACAGGGTCCCAAGCTCCAAGCTTCTGGAGGTGGTGGTGTGTCAGTGGAGGGGCTGGGAGCTGCAGCTCGCCTGGCCTGCTTGTCAACTTGGCCTGTTAGGACACGTCAGGAGGGGCCTCTGCTCTATTGAAGCTGGGAACTGGGATGCGAATGGGGCTAAAGGGTGGAGGAGGCCCTGGAGGCACTGCCCTGGAGGGAGGAGACTAGGCCAGTGGGCCGGCATTGTTTATCACGTGCGCACACGCCTAGGAGAGCCCCGACTGTGGATTTGTCCGTGTCTGTGAGGTTCTGGGTGGCTTTGGGTCTGTGTCTGGTGGTGTGACAGACCAGATGGATGATTCTCTGGGGGTGGGGGCCCTTGTTGGTCACCTGCGGTGTGGGACCTAAGGTCTGGGAGGAGGCGCTGAGCAAGCAAAGGAAGGAAGAGCAGGCGGGGCTGACCTTGAGCCCTGTCCCCCGGCTTCCTGAGTTGAGTTGCGGCTCCACAACGCTATCAGCTTCCCTCCTTCTGTCCCTGACCCTTGGGCTGTGGGACAGCTCTCCTCCCTTTCCCTGGTTCCTGGTGACCAGGCTTAGACTATGCAGGCTTCCTTTCTTCTGCTCTTGAACCCCCCTCCCTATGGGCTAGCTTGGGAGCCCATCACTGCCCCTCTCAGAAGTCCAGCCCCTCCCCCCATGTCACATAAGGAGCCCCCTTTGTGTGTGAGGACTACCTGACCTGAGGCAGCGAGAACAGCTGGCTGGGCCTACGTCTGTTGCTGCAGGACCCTGGGAGGCTTCAAGAGCTGGGAGACATTCCTGATGGAAGGGCCCTGCTGGCAGGAGCTGTGTGTGCCTTAAGCTTCCAAGGGATCTCACGCTGACACTTGGCACCACTCTGGGTGGGGTAGTTGAATGGATAACCCAGAGGTAGTAAAGAGGGATCTGGGGGTGGGGTCAGACCCTGGACCACAGCTCTGGTGACACAAGAGTGAGGGCTTCCCTTTCTCTGTCCTCACCCTCTTGAGTATCATTATAGTTTAAATAGGAGGTAGGCATGGTGGTAGTTGGAACGCAGAGGCAGGTGGGTCTCTGTGAATTCAACACTAGCTTACTGTACAAAAATGAGTTCCAAGCCAGTCACGGCCGTACATTGAGACCCTGTCTCAAAAAAAGTGTGTGTGGGGGTGAGAGCTGGAGGGATGGCTCAGTGACCAAGAGCAGATTCTCTGTAGCAAGAGGACTTGAGTTTGGTTCCTAACACCCGTGTGGATGGCTTACAACCTTCTGTATTCAGCTCCAGTGGAGCCAGTGCCCTCTCCAGTCCTCTGGGGATCTGTACTCACGTGTACAGTGCACATACACATAATTCAAAAATAACAAAAATAAGTCTTTTAAAAAAAATGAGAGCCAGGTATGATGGTGGTGCACATCTGTAATCCCAGTACTTTGAAAGGTGAAGGCAGAGGCTCAGGAGTTCACAGTCACCCTCAGCTACACAGCCTTGAAATCCTGTTTCTAAACCAAAGAACAAAAAAAAGTATTAAGAACTCTGTCAGAGCCAGGAGTGGTTATAAATGCCTGTAATCCCAACATTCTGGAGGCTGAGGCATTACTGTGAGTTCAAGGCCAGCCTGTATTCAGAGTTCTATGCTAACAGAGCCATACCCCCCCCCCCCAAAAAAGCCATCATGAATGTCTAGCACTTACAGAAGGACCACAATTAGCAGTACTTTTTAGAATTCTGGGTGCCCTTCCTTTCGGGGTCTGTCCTGAACCCCTGGTCAGGGATCCTTTGGAAGATAAGTGGAATAGATTTTGCCAGCTGAGCCACTTAGGGGGCTGGGAGGGGCTGGCCCGTGCGTGATTCCGGCAGTGGGGGAGGAAGCGGGCAGGGTGTGGGGGGAGGACACACTGGGCAGGAAGGCTTGGAATAGAATCTCAGCAACGCCTGGTATTTCCCAGGCTTGCCCCTCCCCCTTGGGCTCTGGGGCCCACCCCACATTCCTTTCCCAGAGGAAACCGGAGGGAGCTGGCTCCCCAGGCCGAGCAGATCATTTCTAGCTGTGGCCCACCTTTGAGGCCCTACTGTGTGCACTACACGTGCCCTGCCCCCTTCTCTCTCTGTCTCTCCGCTGAGGCAGCCTTCTCTGCATCTGCCAGGTTAGAAGACAGAAGTGGACGCTGGAGATTCTGGTCTCTTTCCAGGTCTGTGTAAGCCTGGACAGTGTCGCGTCCTCTGCCCTCCCTATAGCTCTCAGGCCCCTCCAAGTCTCAATCAAACACTCATTATTGGCCAGCCAGGAGAGGCCCAGGGGGTGGAAGAATGAAGAATCTCTTTGCTTAAACGCAAGACCTGCTTGCAGCATGACAGGAAGGTGCTAGCCACACAGGTCTGAGATCTAGACTCCAACCCTCCCCCAGTCTATGTAGAAGCCACAACGTGGATTGCAAAGGCCAACACTGGAGATTTTCCTCTGACCTCCTACGGAGGTGGCATGTGTGTCCTCATCAACACATAAATAAAAAAGGAAAAAAGTCTGGCATAGGTGGCAAAAGCAGAGACAGGCAGGTCGGGGCTATCCTGGTCTATATCTCAAGTTCCAAGACAGCTAGGGTTATGTAAGGTGGCCCTTAGGCAGCTGGGAAGACTTAGTGAGGAGGCCTGATGGAGTCAAGGACATCTTTGTGTCTGCTCTCTATTTTGGCTCCAGAGTCAAAGTGGATGAGGACATCTTGGTGGGGTGACCACCTGGTCTAGGAAGGTATGGCCCTTGGGAGGAAGTGACAAGGGGGGCAGAGCAGGACTTGGTCGAATGCTTCTTGATTTTCTAGTCACCCAGTGGGAGAAATGCAGACTCAGTCCCACTGTCCCTGACTGGTCCCTTCCTGCTCTCCCGGAGTCCTGACTCAGCTCATGGCAGCCTGGCTCTTCCCGTTGGGCTTCCGCAGGGTGGAGGTGGGGGTCCAGCTCTTGCATGGGCCCCACAAGCAGCAAACAGGAAACAGAAGAACAAACCCATTCCCTGGCTGACCCGGTCCCCCCACCCTGGGCCTCACCCTCACCCTTCCTCTTGTGTTCTTCCTTCCCTCCATCCTGCCCACCCACTCCCTCTCTCTGTGGTCCTCTTCTGTGCCCTCCTGGAGCTACTCTCACAAGGACCGCCTTCCTGGCAAGTGAGGACAGTGACTGGCCAAATGAGTGCTTGAAAGTAACCCAGCTCTGTGGCTCTCCCTCTTAGATGGGCTCTGGGCTTGTGTCCCCTTCTGCCGGGGATAGACTATCTATATGTCTATGTCTATCTATAGACTCTCTGTGCATAGCCTGTCCTATCATGGTGGTTGTCTTGACAGATGCCTTCAGGAACTCAGGGTATGAGTGACAGTGGAGAACCCAGGGCCATTGCCTTCCCTGTCTCTGCTGGGGGAAAGGATGGGACCTGGAGAGCCAGAAAAGGGGAGAGAGAGGTGTCTGGGATCAGCCAGCTTCCCATCCCACTCATTCTGGAGGGGGCAGAGGGAGAGTGGACAGCTTGGTGACACCTAGTTCATGGGCAAGTGTCCTGGGGAAAAGGAGTGAACAAGCCTCCTTGGGGAGATTGGAGTGGGGTCTCTGTGGCATGAGGGCTCTGGTCTGGCAGTACGTGTCCCACTTGAAGAGCACAGCGTCCTGAGGCAAGCACATCTGACTAGTGTCCTTGTCGCCAGCCTTGTATGTGGTTCAGTGGGCATCTCTGTGGAGTCTGAAAGGGTCCAGCATATCTTCAGGGGCTGTGCTTGTATGTGTTCCCCAGGGGGTAGGGATGTTTGCCTGGGAGGATGTCCGAAGGTATAATAACCACACTGAGAGTCTGTGAGTACAGTGTGTCTCCGGGGGACAAGTGGAGAGGGTGCAGTGAAGCACACAACTAGTACATGTTTCTGCAGGAATGTGAAGCCAGTGGGCCCATAGTGTGATCACCCGATAGTGTGAGTCCTTGTGTTTGCATGGTGTGGTCGGTGTGTGCTGTGCCTGAGCAGAGACCGCTCGAAGCCTCTGGCGTGGGGCGGAGGGTGGGCTGGCGCAGCGCCGGGGCCGCCCCGGAGGGGGAGGCGTCTGTCCCAGCGACTTGCCGGCGTGTCCCAGCCGGGTTCTGGCGGGCGCCTTCACCCGGGCGGCGCGGGAGGCGCGGCCCCGCTCCAGCAGTCCTGCCGCCGTCCGCGCGGGCCGGCCGCCCCCTCGGGGCCCCTGGGCCTCGAGCCCGCGGCTCTGGGGGGCGGACTGGTACTCCTGGGCTCCGCCTGCCGCGCGGGGGTTCGAGGACGTCTCCCGCCGGGCGCCGAGCCGCGGAGTCCCGCACGGCACGTCCCGCTCCAGAGGCCAGGCCCGGTGCGCGCTGGGGCCACGACGGTGGCCGAGCTCGGGGGTCCCCGCAGGCCGCGCTACTGGGCAGCGCCGTGTGGCGCGTGGAGCGTGCGGGCGTCGGGGGTTGGCGCTGGGAGCGCGCCGTCGGTGTGGACTGCAGCGCCCCGGAGCCGCGCTGCCTCTGGCTGCCCTGTCTGAGCCACAGCGACCGCCGAGCACTCGGGCTGCGTCCGGCCAGGGTGAGCAACAGCTTTGGAGCCGGGCGGGAGCTGGATGTCAAAGACTGTGGGTGCTAGGGTTACCCACTTTCGAGCTGAGAGCATCCTGCATTCCCAGACGACATCCTTGCAAGTGGTGCGTGTGTGTATGAGTTAGGTGAGAGTCAGGGTGAGGTGGCAGCGTTTGCGTGGGAGCTTTCCCAAGGGCTCTGGATGGAACCTGGAGTCTGGGTAATGGCACCTGTGGACTCAGCCCTCCTAGTTAACAGGCAGTGGAAGGGTGGAAAGGGGGCTGATGACTGGAGGAGTCGCTGGCTAGCATATCTAGGAATCTAGGCTGGCAGAGACCCAGTGAGAGCTAGGCACTGGGTCACTAACCCGAGCAGTGGGCGCCACTCTGTTCTCCTATCTTAGTGGCCAGAGGAAGTTGAGGTGGCAGAATGCCCCCCCCCCCCAGCAAGCATTTGGTGATTCCCAGGGCCGGCAGTGGCCCGGCTGGGGGCAGTGTTTCTGATGTTCGGGGATCTGCCTGGCTGGTAGGCATGAGTCACAGTGGGCGCCGTGCCCAGTCTCAGTACAGTATTCTCTGCTATGACCTCTTTATGCTGGGGTGAGATGAGGGGGTGTCATACAGATGTAGCCAATCCATCGAGTGTCCCCTTCTGCCTGATGTGTTCCCTGGGCTGTTGGCCCTTCTTTAACCACAGCTGATGTTTTTGGATGTCTCTTTGTTTTCAGACAAGAGGGTGAGAGTGTTTACAAATAGATTCCAGTCAGGAGGGCTTAATTAACGATGCTGAGGCACCTCTCTGTCCCCTGTCTGTGAGCCTGTGTCAGGGAGCAGAGGTGCACTTCACTGTCCCTCTAGTTCTCACTGCTGATCTGTTTCTGTACCTTACACTTCTCCCGCCCTCAAGAGGAGAGCTAGACTCAGTGTTGTCCCAGGTCAGAGGGGAGAAGCAGAAACCTGCATGTAAGGTTAGCATGAGGCTGAGTCTGAAAGAGCTTCCCACAGGGGAGCAGCCAGCCCTGACTGCATCTGTGGAGTCTCCTCTGATAGGGATATGGTGGTGGTGGTGGTGGGGTGACTGACATTCTCAAGAGACTAATTGAATTGGAAGGAGTGGGAGACAGGACCTGGAAAGAAGAGAGCGAGTGGAGAGGCCTCGGTAAGTGAGAAGGGGGAGCTGTTGTGCTGGGATGAGGAGAGACCAGTGGGAGGAAGGCATACCCACTGTCCTGGATTACAAGCAGGTCCCCTCAGGGAGTGGCACCCCCAGGCAGCTGGCAGCTCTAGGCAGGATGTGTGTGTAGGGGGAGGGGAGGGGAACATGTGGAGACCTGTCCCAGCCGCTTCTCATCACTGGGGCAGCTGGTGGCTTAAACCTTAATCCAGGGCACCAGCAAAACAATGGGCCCTGCAAACACCCTCAGCTCTGAGCCTGGGTGGGAGTGCAAAGGAGGGCAGCCCACACTAGTGGGGGAGCAGGGGTTTCTGTGGGAGAGGCACTGGGGACCCATGAGATCATCTTTCCATATCAGGGAAATCAGGGATGGGTGTGTTCGAAGCTCAAGGAATTTCCATGAATGTTCTTCAGGTTCCTGGGACCCCGTGAATGTGAATGTATGGCTCTAGAAGAGGCAGGGTGTAACCACAAGGGGAAGGAACTGAGGGGACACCATTGGGTCCCTGCTAAGGACTGGGACCAGGAGTAGTCTAGGTCTTGCTTGGACCCTTCTGGGGATGGAGAGTTCAGGACCTAACCTGTTTTTTTCAGACTATGGAATGTCTCCTTTTCTGGGCCCTTATTTAGCTGATTTGTGTTCTCCACCTGGCTGTTCCCCGAGACTACAGTCCGCAGACCTATTGTATCTGTCTCGTTTTCCTTTTATTTATTGAGATTCGAGACTCTGCTCTTTCCCCTAAACCTGCTTGATGGCAGCTAAGCCTCCTGGCTGTGCACATCACGTGCTCTCTCTCCCTCTTGTAGACCAGGGTGGACAGTTTCCCAGTCCGGTCTCTTAGCTAGCAGAAGGGCAGCTTCCTGAGGGCAGAGGCAAGTGCTAGCTAGCTCAGGCTGCCCAGTGGCTGTGGGGATTTGGGGCTTTGTTGAAGGCTTCTTGCTTTTCTTACGGCCTGTCCCCCTGGGACCCGTCTTTTCTGTCAGCCTCTCTGCATACATGATTCATCTCATACTTGTTACTGCTGTTCATCTCAGTGTCCAGAGATAGTCAAGGCAGTCTTCTCTCTCCGTCACCCCTTGCTCCTGCCCCAGATGTGGTTCTAGATGGGCCCTCTCAGCTCTTTTCTTTGGATGACCTGCCCTGTCATCTAGGGGAATCCCAAGCATTCTGGCAGGATGGACAGAGGGCAGTATCTCTCATCAGCCTTCCTGGTGAACCAGCCTGGCCTTTGGGCTGAGCTTTGCAGTGTCAGCAAGTCCCTTTAGTGCCTGATGTCCAGTTGGAGCTTTTGATCCCATGCTGTTGGAGAGTGCATGTGTGTGCCGGTGCATGCAGACATGTGGCTCTCTCTGCGCTGTGTGGATACAAGACTGGTTTACATACCTGTGCCCTGCCGGTGTGCCTGCATGGTTCTGTGAGTCTGCCCGTGTGCACATCTGCTGTTTTTACTTTTATTATTCATTTATTGTTTTTTTTGGGGGGGGGCGGAGTTAGTTTCTCTATGTAGCCTTGGCTGTCCTGGAACTCACTCTGTAGACGAGGCTGGCCTTGAACTCAGAGATCCACCTGCTTCTGCCTCCTGAGTGCTAGGGTTACAGGCATGTGCCACCACTGTCTGGCTTATGTGTACATATTTGTTTGTGTTCCTGTGTTATGTTCTGTCTACATAAGTTGTGCGTGTGAATGTATTCATGCATGTCGATGTATGTGTGGGGATGTGCAAGTTGTACCACAAGTTCCTGTGCAGAAAAACTGTGTGCAGTGCCTGGCACACAGTAAGTGTGTCCTGGCTCAATTTCCAGGGAGGCAATGGTGCCGTGAGGAGACTGAAGGGAAAGCTCAGAGGGAGGAAGCTGTCAGGCTTCGAAGAGTGAGAGAGGAGGGGAACGGTGAAGGGGTCAGGACCCCGAATGTACCTGGGTCCTTGTGGCTGTGGATGTTAGTGGTCCTGTCAGGTCCTAGGCTCTGGGCAGCTGGCGGCAGGTGCAGAGCCGCGAGCATAGGCTACACGATGCTCATTCATCTGTTTCCCTTTGCTCCTGCAGCTTCCACTGGGCCCACGAGATGGGTGCTCTTCTGGACGCCCCCTCCCCTGGCAGGGGCCCAGGACACTGCTGCTGCGCAAAAATCTCCAGGATGGCTTTGGTTTCACCCTGCGTCACTTCATTGTGTACCCACCCGAGTCAGCCGTGCACTGCAGCCTGAAGGTACCTCAGCTTGCCAGTGCCTGGCCGCTATGTGGGAGCGGGGAGCTCCATGGGAGAGAAGAGCTAGTTGGCCTATCCTAGCTACCTGTCAGAGGAGTCCCTGTGGGGTCCGGCCTGGCTCATTCAGAGCCACAGTAAGAGGGGAGCTTTAAGGAGGCAATACTCAGTGTTCGCTGAGCCTAAGACTCTTGCTCCGTGACTGTGAACAAACTCCCTAACTTTTCTGGACTGGGTCTTGCCAGGGGGTGCAGAGGTGAGAAGTCAGTATGTACAGAGCTGCATGTGTCTGTGTGACACACACACACACACACAAACACACACGGTCTCTGCAAAGGGAATGATCATTTTGGGTAATGGGCTCCTTGTTCACTTGTCCACTGGTTCTTGACCTGGGTCATCTCTTCAGGGACACCCCCCCCTTATTTGCTGGAAAGAGTCCTGAGGGAGGGGTCCAAGGGCCCCCGGGTCTTAGTCCTAACTCAATCCTGTGTTGTGGATTTGGTCACTGTGGATTTAGAGCCATCTCACCAACTCTGTGACTCAGTTTCTCCTGAAGGCTGCTTTGCCTTGACCCCTAAGAGCTTTTCCATCCCTAATACAAATGCCTCAGACTCTGAATCATAGAGCCAGAACTTCTCATAAGGCCACAAACTGGAAAGAGAGTCCCTGAAAACAAAGGGTGTGGAAGACAGGAGGGTAACTAGGCAGCAGTGGGGCTCCCAGCCTCCCTGCCTGCAGAGGAGACAAATTTCTAGTAGAGTCCGTGAACCCCTCTCTCTCCTTCCCCCAGGGCTGGATGAGCCTGCACAACTGCTGGGGAATTATTGCTTGGGTACCTTGACCCCACCTGCCACACAACCAAAGCATTAGGTTTCCCTGTATGTCTCTGCACCTAGTATGCCTGCTTGCATGGGTGTGGGTAGTGTCTGCAGGCTGTGGTGTGTGTGTAGGTCTGACACATGTTGTGTGGCTTTCACATGTATATGAATCTTTGATACTAGGATCATCACTGTCATTGGCTATGGCTATGCCTAAGCTTCGGATGACCAAGGGCACCAGCCCCTTCACTCCTGGAACCCCTGGTCCTACCCTTCCTTCTTTCTAGCTCCTGCCACCTTCTCTTAGGACACTGTGGCAGTGAGAGGCTGTGCTCTCGCGTGTTGGGCTCACTTTCTCATGGGTCACTGGCCAACTCTGGGGCAAGACAAGCCAGGATTGCTCCCTCCCTTTCTAGAACCTGCCCTGGACTGAGAGATGTTCTCATCCTGAGGCAGTAGGAGGGAGCCTGCAGTGAGCTTAGCTGTCCAGATGCACCTGTTTGCCTCTGCCACCCTCTGCCCATGCTGTCAGCCCCATCAGTGGGCATGCACCTCCCACGGGAAATCCTTCCTGGTGCACCTTGACCTGACTGGGCCGCCAGTGGGTCCTGAGTTTGGTCCAGCTTCTGAAGGGCTGGACAGTGTGACCATGAATGTCCTGTCAACTCCGATGTAACACCCGCTGGCTCAGCCTGTCTCTGTTCTTCTGGTTCTTCTCCAATAACCAGTACCCTCACTGGGATGGACCCCTGGCCCTCCTAGCAGCTCCCCCTCACCCCTGTAGGTAGCTTCAAGAATCCTGTGCCTTGCCTGACACCCACTTCTGCTTATCAAAGAACCGTTCCTGGCCTCTTTTTCTTTCCTTTCAGACCAGAATGGCTTAGTCTGACTTCACCACTTGCTGGTGTTGGCTCAGCATATCCAGCCCTAAGTGTGCACCCCTCCCCCTTGCTAATCGGACCTCCCAGCACATTCTCTGAGAGAGATATCCCTGTTTACACTCATCAGACTACTTATCTTTGTCCTCCTGGGTCCTCTGCATGTGTGTTGGGGACCTCCTCCCTTGGGTTACAAGGGACCTTCTCCCTAGGGGAAGAGGGCATGAATCCCTGGTAGACTGGATGTTCTTGGAAGTCTGGGATGCTAGTGCAGTGGGACTGGCACATCTGAGAATAAGGTGTATATACTTAGTGGACATTGTTCTGAGCCGGACTCTGACAACTCTCTAGTCTTCTTGCTGTTGGCTGGTTGGAAGGAGACAAGGGTTAGAGTGGGGATCTCAGCAGGATGCTGCTGCTGCTGGGGGCTGAACAGGCGCCACACCCATCTCTCTTCCCGGCAGGAGGAAGAGAATGGAGGCCGAGGCCGAGGAGGAGGAGGAGGAGGAGGAGGAGGAGGAGGAGGTAAGGGGGTAGAACCAGGGTGGGGCAGGGTTCTCTCTTGCACTCCAGTGGGCCCCACCCTCTTTTTTTTTTTTTTTTTCCCCGAGACAGGGTTTCTCTGTGGTTTTGGAGCCTGTCCTGGAACTAGCTTTTGTAGACCAGGCTGGTCTCGAACTCACAGAGATCCGCCTGTCTCTGCCTCCCAAGTGCTGGGATTAAAGGTGTGCGCCACCACCGCCCGGCCCCCACCCTCTTCTTGGCCCGCCCCCACCCTCTTCTTGTCCACACCTCTAGTCTTTCTCCTCTTGGTTCCTGGCTAGGGTAGCTCCAGGCATCTCCTCCTCACTCTCTGTTCTCCTCCCCATTTCCCCCTCTCATGGTTGTCTTCCTATGGGCCTGTCCCTCCCACAGCCATCTGATACTGAGTACTCTGAGTGACAGATCCCCATCTGGTCCTACCCTCCCTCTACTTTCTCCCAGAACAAAGTCTAGGTTAAGGCTGCAGGATCTGCGCATCAGGGTTGGGGTGTACTGAGCATGGGTTCATCTTGTGGGTGGAGACAGTAGACAGTGAGGTCCTGAAAGGAATAGTGGGACCCTAAGGCATGTCTTCAATGTGAGCCTAACTTGCCTTACCGTTACCTTTGCTATCTTTTTGTTTGTTTGTATTTTGAATCAGGGTTTTTCTGTGTAGCCTTGGCTGTTCTGGACTCACTCTGGTAGACCAGGCTGGCCTTGAATTCAGAGAGATTGGCCTGCCTCTGCCTCCCAATTGTTGGGATTAAAAGAGTGTGTCTCCACTGCCTGGCTCACCTTTGCTATCTTAAGAGTCCTTTGCTGGCTCTCGAGCTCCCCAAATGTTAAAGCGGACCTTCCCAGACAGGCAGCTCTCCTGCCCTGCCTCTGTCTGTGGGCACTGTGGGGACACGATCCTCCTTAGTCCTCGTGCCACTGCCCTGCCTCTGCCTGTGGGTAGCCATGGGGACATGATCCTCCTGAGTCCCCATGCCACTGGAGGAGAAGGAGCCCACTGTCCTAGCACAGGTTCCAGTGACGGAGTCTTGTTGACAAGTGATGGAGTTAGTATCCATCCTGTGCTCATGCCAGCATCCCAGGGTTCTCATAATTCTGCCTGGAGCCCTTGACCCAGGAGAAGGAAGAAGAGTGGGAGAATACTGGGTTTCTCTCTGGTCCTGTGATACGTCCTCTCTCCATACATGTGAGGCCTCACCAAGTTTGTACCTTTTTAAAAAGAATTCAAATTTTAAAAAATCAAGTGCATTTAAAAGAGTATTTTATGTTTGTATATGCCTGGGTATATGTCTCTTTGTGCACCATGTATGTGCAGGAGCCCATGTATGTTAGACGAGGGCACCAGATGCCCTGGAACACGAGTCACAAGCAGTTGTGAGCTGCCACGTGTGTGCTGGGAACCAAACCCAGATCCCATACCAGAGCAGCCCATGCTGACTCACCTCTCCAGTCCAGATTAGGGCCTCTCTTTGAGGATTATCAGTGTGTGTGCCCGGGATAATGCCGGAGTACGCATGTACCGTGACTAGTGTGTGGAGATGAGAGGATGACTTGGTGGCATTAGCTCTCTGCTTCCACCTTTATGTGGGTTTCAGGGACTGAATTCAGACCATGCAGATGCCTTTCCCTGAGCCATCTTCTCAGCCCCATAGGGGGCCTCCTGTATGGGGCCCTTCCCTGTGTCTTATGCATTGTTTGTGACATCTGTATGACAGAGAACTCTAGAAGGGCAAGGGCTGTGTGTACATATTGTGTGGCGTGGCTTCTAGTACAGAAGAGGGGCTCAGCTCATGGCTGTGGGCAGCTCTTTATGTGTCCTTGGTGGTGTCCTTCTCCTGCTGTGGGACCTTGTGTGGCTGTGGGCATAGGTCCTGTGGAAGCGCGGTCATTGCATGTTTGTGTCTGTGTGTGATCATCCTCTGAGTGTGTCCCCTGTATGTATAGCTATACATGGGTGTGGCCTTCAGCAGCCACGCCCAGCTAACCTGGCTGATGCCCACCAGGACCCTCCCCCCGGCACCGCCTGGAGCCCATGGACACCATCTTTGTGAAGAATGTGAAGGATGGTGGCCCCGCCCATAGGGCAGGGCTTCGCACAGGTAAGCCTGCCCACTCCTCTGGGGCTCCCTCCCTTTCCTTCTCACTGGGTTGGGGTTCTTGAACCTAGATGCCGCCGAGGAAGTTCCTCTCCTCTCACTGTCATTCATGCTTGGTCCAGGGGTAGCCTCCACCCCTGCTTTGGACTTTGACATGTGGTCCCATTCCTTGTCCCTAGGAGACCGGCTGGTGAAGGTGAATGGGGAGAGCATCATTGGGAAGACATACTCCCAAGTCATAGGTCTGATCCAGAACAGGTGAGCTGCCGACCTTCTTCCTTCCCCAACCTGGGCCCTGCAGTTGGATCCCTCTCCCCTGGACCTCGCTGCCTCCGGGCTGACTCTCTCCTGTCTCTGCAGTGATGACACCCTGGAGCTCTCCATCATGCCCAAGGATGAGGACATCCTCCAGCTGGTGAGTCCCTCTGTCTGCATGGAGGGCCCCAGTGGGAGAGAAGAGAAGGAAATAGCCTGACATTGCTCAACTGGGGTTTCCAGGCCCATCCCTGGGCTGCGGACGCTTGTTGCTTCACTCAGGGCTGCTCTGTGCTAGGGAGACAGGAGGTGCTGGCCTTGGTAGGCAGGATTCCTGCCAGGGTATCTGAGAGGGTGGCTCAGCGGGCCCTGCCAGCCTGGCATGTTCTTGTTTGCTCCTGTGAGAGGTGCCTGCTCCCTGTACCCCCTGCCCACTTGGCCTGAGCGAGCACGGCTCTGCAGTTGCACACAACAAAGAGCACTCTTCAGCACATCCCACAGTCACAGACACCGCTTCATACAGAGCAGGACACTCATCCATAGCACGGTATGACTCAGCGCCATATAAGACGCACACGCATTGCAGGCCCAGGCGAACAGGCCCTCTGTCTCAGTGTCACCATGGTTCCCCCTCTGTGCCAGTGTACCACAGTGCCTGTGTAGCACACGGCAAGATCTCACAGCAGTCTGACTTGCACCTTGGGCTTGTAACACAAATGCTGCACACATCTGGATTCTGAGGTGCCGTAATGCAGACACACACTGGCGTGTAATTGCAGTGCTGCCCGCAACTGCCTCAGCGTGCGGCAGCCCTTCTCAGGTACCTGTGCTTAGTGATATCACAGGATCCTAAGTTCAGGCCCATGGGGATCTAAACTCTGAACCCATCACCCCCAGCGCCTCAGCACGCTCAGCACATGATGTGGAGGATGCCACACATGTATTGTGTGAAACAAACCCAAAGCCCTGTGTCTGGAGCCTGAAACACTCCCTCCCCTTTTCCTCGTGTCCTGTTCTTGGTCTGATGAATTTTACCCAGATGCCAGCTTGCTTGCTCCTTAGGTCACTGCCCCTCAGAGGATGGCTGAGGGCCAAGCCCCAGAGGCTTGTAGCTGCTGTGCTGGCCTTGGCTGTGGCTGTGTCACTGTAATGACAGGGCCACACTTGGCATGATGCCTCCATGGGAACCTCCATTCCTGACCTCAAATGTCCCATTGGTCTTCCTGGAGATGAAGAGGAAAGACTGGAGGGGATGGCTTACCCCAGGTCTTAAAGAGTTTGCCTGTATGCCAGACTTGAGGCAAGGCCACTATGAGAGAGTACCAGGACATGACCCTGGGGTACCCTGGCTCAGTACAGCTCTCAGATCAATGGGGTGGCAAGGGCAGCAGCCTTGAATTCTGCCAGACCTAAACCCAAGTGGGCTGCCAGCCCCAGATGTCAACATCTGGGAGCTTCCACTACCCTGCCATCTCCAGGCAGCCGGAGGGTGGGGCCCAGGCATTCCTGTGGTTGGGAGCCAAGGCTGGAGGCCAATCGGGCGGCGGCAGTTGCTGACGCCACCACCGACGCGGCAAGTCCCCTCCACACCCATCCTCCCTCCTCCTACCGCCAGGCAGCCGACAGAGAGCCGGGTGGTGGAGAGGGGGAGCTTCAGGGAGGGCTAACTGAGGGGACTGAGGGACCCAAACCAGCAGGGCAGGGGCTGTGGTGGGAGGCAGCAGGGTAGCAGACACGGGTTGGCGGGATGCTGCCTCCGCCACCGTGATGCTGGGAGCTCCGGGAGCCAGCGGGATGGCAGGAGGGAGAGGTATGTGTTGCTGGCCCAGTATGCCAGGCTGGAGGGGCCCGAGTGTTCGGGGGTGTGGTTAGCTGGTCCTTGTCACATGATGTTTGTGTTTGGTACTGGAGGGGTAGTTATTTGTGTATCTCATTGTGTGTGCTGCGTGTGTTAGGGTGTGTATCTTGTCTGTCTGTGATGTGTAGTATGTGTGTGTGTCTGGCTCACCCTCCCACCCTTTGCTTCTACATCCTGAGACAGCCCCCTCAGCTCATCTAGTGCTGGACTGGGTCAGGGACACAAGACTGCTGTCCCTGGGGGGCTGCCTCCTTTTTTGGCTGAGCCTGGGCGCCAGCCCTGTCACTCCTCAGCAATGCAGCGTCAGCTTTAGCAGCCAGTGCCAAATTCCAGGCCTAGGGGTGGCCCGAGGTGGCCCAAGGCCCCTTAGTCCGTCCAGCCCCTTCTCTAAGCCCGCTTCTGGGGAGCAAGAGATGGTCATGTTCTTCACCCCAAGGCTCAAGCCCTGGGCCCCGGTTTACACCACCCTGTATTGAAGGGGCAGTGGGCTCTTCCAGCCTCTGCCCACCCTCAGACCACCTTTCCTTGGACACACCCCTTAGCCAGCTTTCTACTGTTTTCTTCCACCTCCAGTTTTCTGTCCATTTCCCCAGCACTCCAGAGGCTGTGGGCATCGCTGGGCATAAAGGAACAGTAGGCGGTGGAGGACAGGATGGGGGAGGACCCTAGCGAGCAGATGCTGGAATGTTTGTGGCTAAAGGCTGTCCTTGTTATAAGTCTTAGAGAAATCTGACTATTTCTAGAGAGAGAGAGAGAGAGAGAGAGAGAGAGAGAGAGAGTCTTATTTCTTTGTCCTTCCTCAGGACTCTCCCTGGAGCATACCCTCCTCTCCTCAGGATGCCCTTACTTAATCATCTCCCTTCCATTCCCTGCTGAGGACTTTGGTATTTTAGGGCTGTCTCATTTCTCTTCTGAGTCCAGTCTGGTCATGCTTCTATGCCTCTGTTTCCGGTCAGGCCTACTCCCAGGATGCCTACCTGAAGGGCAACGAGCCGTATTCTGGAGAGGCCCGCAGCATCCCAGAACCACCTCCACTCTGCTACCCACGGAAGACCTATGCCCCGCCAGCCCGGGCCTCTGCCTGGGCCACTATGGTGCCTGAGCCTGTCTCAGCACTACCCACGGATCCCCGGAGTCCTGCTGCCTGGAGTGACCCAGGGGCCTGTGTCCCATCTGCCACCCGTGCCCACCTGGACAACTCTTTATTGGGGATGAGCCAGCCCCGCCCAAGCCCTGGTGCCTTTCCCCACCTCCCTTCAGAGTCCCGGACGCCCCGTGCCTTCCCAGAGCCCGGCAGCCGGGTGCTTCCCAGCAGACTGGAGTGCCAGCAGGCTCTGTCACACTGGCTGTCAAATCAAATACCCCGCAGGGCGGGGGAGAGACGGTGCCCAGCCATGCCACCACGGGCCCGCAGTGCCTCCCAGGACCGGCTGGAGGATGTGACTACCCACCACCCATGGCCCTGCTCCACCTCCCAGGATGCCTTGAGCCAGCTGGGCCAGGAGGGTTGGCACCGAGCTCGCTCAGACGATTACCTGAGCCGGGCTACCCGCTCTGCTGAAGCACTGGGGCCAGGAGCACTGGTGTCACCTCGCCTTGAACGCTGTGGTTGGGCTCCCCAGCGTCCATCTGCCCGCACCTCTGCTTGTCCTTCTCGGGACCTGTCAGGGCCCCAGGCCCCTCCTTCATCTGGCCTGCAGGGTCTGGACGACATCGGGTACATTGGGTATCGGAGCTATAGCCCATCATTCCAGCGCCGGACTGGTCTCCTGCATGCGCTTTCCTTCCGGGACTCACCTTTTGGAGGACTTCCCTCCTTCAACTTGGCCCAATCTCCTGCACCATTCCCACCGGAGGCCTCTGAACCACCTAGAGTCGTCCGGCCAGAACCTAGCACCCGAACCCTGGAGCCTCCTGCAGAGGATCACCGTGATGAGGTGGTCCTGAGGCAGAAGCCTCCAACGGGTCGCAAGGTCCAGCTGACCCCTGCAAGACAGATGAACCTTGGATTTGGTGATGAGTCCCCAGAGCCAGAGGCCAGAGGAGAACGCCCAGGCAGGAAAGTGGCCCCTTTGGCCACTACAGAAGACTCTCTGGCTTCTATCCCCTTCATTGGTGAGTGGTGTTCCAAGCAGCTGGCTATGGATCCCGTCTCTGTCCTTTTGTGTCCCCACTGCCTGTCCCCTGTGCCCGTGACTGGGCTGTGCCGATGGGATCATCTGGGTTTGACCCTTCGTTCTTCCCACTTCCATTCATCTTCCAGTCCAGCTTTTCTTTCCTCCCTCCCTTCGTCCATCCTTCCTCTTTCCTTCCTGCCTTCCCTTGTTCATTCATTCGTCATTCTTAACTTTCCTCTTTCCTTCCTTCCTCCTCTTCTTCCTTCTACCCTTTGTGTCTTTCATTCTTTGTTTTTCCCACTTGTCCTACATTCCTCCAACAAATACTTACGTCAGGCACTGTGCGAGGCTTCTGACTTCCCTGGGGGGTGGATGGGCAGACAGAAAGTACATGGACAGGCTCTGTGGATGGGGAAGGGCTCCGTGGCCTAAATGGGTGTGGTCAGCACTGGGAATATTGAAAAAAAATTGGTTAAGAAGGATTCGAGGTAGATGGAGGAAGAGAAAGATGGAACCGTGTAGAGCCTGCAGAGAGAGGCAGAGTGCTCTTCCGGGCCATGTGGTCCTTTCCTGTCCAGGGCCAAGCTTGGATTTCACCCGAAGAACAGAGGAGGCTGTGGTGGCTGTCTGTAGAGTGGGAGGGGGAGAAGGCAGCGAGGCGAGGGTGATCCCCAGCTCTCTGGCTTGGGAGTGCAGAAAGAATAAGAAAAGGGTTAGGGCTTTGAGGGTGCAGGCTGGGCTGGGCTATGGGCTTTAGAGAAAGCCTGGAGTGTAAGATGGTGATGTTGGGCCTAAGACCTGGGACTGAGTTTAGAGCTGAGCAGGCCTGGGAATTGAGGAAGTTCAAACAGGATGGTGCGAAGCCATCAGCAGCCTGCAGTGGGGATACAACCCTGTTTCAGTGCATTCTCGCCGAGCCACTGTCAGGTGCTCCGTCTACGGGGACGACACAATGCTTGTCCCCAGCCACCAGTCTGCTAGAGTGCTGTCTGTGTTTTAGGGACCTGCTCCAAAGGGGGTGGCCCAGCCCCTGCTAAGAGGAGGTACTTCCCTGCCACATTGTGGTGGGCGAGGCCCCGTGGGGAGTGGGCATGTTGCCAGAAATGCCCTAGTGAAGAGGAGCTGAAGGGTTTGCAGCTTGTTTGCCAAAGCCTGATGAGACTCGGGTATTGAAGCAGCCTATGTCCTTCACACCTTCCTCCCTCTGCTGGCAGATGAGCCCACCAGCCCCAGCATTGACCTCCAAGCCAAGCATGTCCCTGCCTCTGCCGTGGTCTCCAGTGCTATGAACTCAGCCCCTGTTCTGGGCACCAGCCCATCCTCACCAACCTTCACCTTTGCCCTCAGCCGCCATTACTCCCAGGACTGCAGTGAGTATCTCTACCCTGTGCCAGCCCCTCCCCTACTGCCTGGTCCCTGTGGGTCTTCTGCCCAATGTTGGTTTGCTTCCAGGTGGTTTTTGCTTCTTCTGGGACCCCATGGGAGATCCCACCGTGACCCCAACCAGAAGGGAGGGCTCCTAGGGTAGCTCCCAACCCGCTTCTTGCTAATCCTGAGGCCTTGTATGGGCACCTTTTCAGGCAGCATCAAGGCAGGCCGCCGCTCCTCCTACCTTCTGGCCATCACCACAGAGCGTTCCAAGTCCTGTGATGACGGACTCAACACCTTCCGGGATGAGGGCCGAGTGCTCCGGTGAGGCCCTGCCTGTCTGGGGTGGGGTAGTTTCTGTTCTCTTAGGTTGGGCCATGGGTTCGGGTGGGTGATGAGAATGAGGGCCGCCCACAGCCCTCATCTTGGGTCTTTGCTTCCCAGGCGCCTTCCCAACCGGGTCCCCAGCCTACGGATGCTGCGGAGCTTCTTCACCGATGGGGTAAGCCAGCAAAACTGTGTGCTCTTAACCACGGAGCCATCTCTCCAGCCCTTGGTCTTCTTAGGACAGGGTCTTGGTAGACCTTGAAGACAGGGTTTGAGTCCAGCCTGGCTTCCAGCTTGTGACCTTCCTGCCTTAGCCTCCTGAGTGCTAGGAACCCTGTGCCACAGTTGTGCTTCTGTAGGCCCCCCTGAGACTTGCTCTGAACCACACCCCCACAGCTGCTGCTTCCTGTCCGTCTCTCTGTGCACTTTCCTTGCGTGCATCATGCACATGTCTTTTAGCACCTTAAAGACACGGCCATGGCCACCTGGCTCCTCTTTATCACTTCCTCAGCTTACTGAACTCTCCCTGGATGTGCCAGCTCGGAGGCTGGATTCCTGTTGACACCATCACTTCCTGTTTAACTCCTGGTGGGCTTGACTACCTGTCCCATCACTACTTTGGTCTTTGTTGATGTTCCCACTTCCCCTGTTTACTTAACTCCTTATTGCCACAATGGCTTCCCGTTTCCTCAATTCCTTCATGGCTGTAAAACTGAGGGAAGGCCCGGGTTGGCTTTTCCAGCGTGGGGAGGCAGGCATTCTGCTGGCAGATCAGACCCTTTCCTCCTTCCTGGCTTCTTCATAAGGTCCCATGACCTCAACACAAATGGTCCAGAGAGGACAAGCAAGGCCCATGAGGTCACACAGTACGTCAGAGTACAGCACAGACAAACGCCAGGCCTGTGTGGCCTGTGTAGTCCATGGGGTTCCTGAGATGCCAGTACTATGGGAGCCACCCTAAATTGCCTTCTGTTTTCTCCCTACAGTCTCTAGATAGCTGGGGCACCTCTGAAGATGCTGATGCCCCCTCTAAGCGACACTCAACCTCTGATCTCTCAGATGCAACCTTCAGTGACATCAGGAGAGAAGGCTGGTTGTATTATAAGCAGATCCTCACCAAGAAGGGGAAGGTAAGGTGGCCTGGGGAAGGAGGGCCAGGCTGCATGGAAGGTGGCTCTCACAGGACTTTCCAGGTTCTCTTATACCTTCCCTGTAAAACAAACAAACAAAAAAACCCACCTTAGTCTGTAGCCTGAGGACTCAAGGTTAGATGGCTGCCAGGATGAACTTGGAGAGAGGGGAATTACCAAACCCCTGAGAAGGAGGGTAACAGAGAGGTGCTCCTGACTGTGGAAGCAAGCTATGTTGGAATCCTGACCAAACCATTTTTCAATGACCCTGAATGGCCATCAAGGCTTATGGTAAAGGAGCAAGGCCAGGGTGAGGCTGAGGCCCATGAAGGAAACAGAAGTCCATTTTTTCAGGGCCCTTTGAGGTCTTCAAGGGTATAGACTTAGCTTAAGGGCAACTGAAACCCTTAGCAGTGTTAGAGCTTTCAGATGCTCATGTATCTTCCTGAGGTGAGTTAGTGAGGGATGCCTGGAGTAAGAAGACCATTTAGAAGCCACCACAGGATCCAGGTGAGAGTCAAGGGCCTGTGGGAGTGGGGGAGGAGGTGGGCAGGGGGTTCAAATAGGATCCGAAGAGAAGGTGGGGCCCTGATCTGCCAGGCCCTGGCTGGGGAGTGGGAGGAAAAGGAGGCAGGATGGTTCTTGAGGCATGGCCTGTTTCTCTGCAGGCTCTCTCCCTTGTGCTTGTGACTCTGTCTGTAAGGCGAGCTGACTAATGCCTTTCCTAACCGGCTGCTAGGCATTGAAAGACATGATCTGAACAAAGGGTGTTCTGTATTAGGCAAGGTGAGATGGCTCTGCACTCCAAGCTGTTTGGGAGGCTGAGACAGGAGGATAGAGAGTTCATGACTTTTTAGGCTACAGAGTAAGTTCAGTGACAGCCTGGGCAACTTATTAAAATTCTGTCTCAAAATAAAATGTGCCCAGGCTGTGTTGGTGCACGTGTTTAATCCCAGCACGTGGGAGGCAATGGCAGGTGGATTTCTGAGTTTAAGGCCAGTCTGGTCTACAGATTAAGTTTCAGAACATTCAAGGCTACACAGAGAAACCCTGCCTCTAAAAACAAAAAATTAAATAAGTAAATAAATTTTGAAACAAGGGCTGGGAATATAGATTTTTGGTAGAATGTTTGCGTAGCAGGCATTAGGGCCTGGTTTTAAGCCTTAGTCACAACACACACACACACACACACACACAGTGTTTCTTATGGGCTGTGCTTACAGAACTCTTTCCTGACCTATGGAAGGGCCTGGGCTCCATTCCTATCATTGCAGATAGAGTCAGGGGAAAGTGGGGCTGGAGTTATCAGAGCCTGACACTTGGGGTTGTTCTTCTGCCTCACTGCCATTATAGGCATCCTACGATATTTAGGGGGGATGACTCCAGAAGCCCCCGTGGGGGTACCAGCCATCCATGGAGGCTCAAGTCCCTTATATAAAGCAAATTAGTGTCTGCATGCAGCTGACGCAATCCTCCCATACTCTGTAAGTCATCTCTAGATGACTTCTGCTGCCTCATTCTATATAATGCCGTGTAAATAGCTGTTACAGTGGGTTGTTTATGAAATGCGGAGGGGAAAAGTCCGTATCCCTTAGTACAGATGCATGGTTTTTCTCTGAGTTTTTAATCCATGGAACCTATAGAAGGGACGCCTCTAGGGTGGTACCTGGAAAGCACAAGCTTTGAAGTAGCCACTTTGAATTCCTACACACTGCTGCTGTGGATGACTGCAGGAGTCACCTTAACTTCCCCCAGCTGTAAGATGAGTCAAGAGGGCAGAAGTGGAGGCCGGGGAGCACTGGAGTTCACAGACACAAGGCCTCCTGCTCCTGAGGGTCTGTTGAGCTTCTAGGGACTTAGGTGCGGGAGCCAGCTTGCCTCGTCCTGCCCTCTTGGGGTTGATGACCACAGAGAAAGTGCTAATTGCTCCTCAATGACAGGTGCACCCACCATCAGTACAGGGAGTTTAGAGGCTTAGCAGGGTAAGGCTTAGCATGTCTGGGAGGCTGTGACCCGAAGCTGTGGGAGTCGGTAGTAGAGAGGGAGTGGGTGGAAGAGAGTCTCCTGGGGGAAACGCCCTCACTAAGGGCTGAAGGGAAGCTCAGAGGAGAGTTCCGGGAGCCAGACTGCCTGGAGAGCCCAGAGCACATGGTAGAAGGTGATGTGGGGGCTTGGTACCCTTAGAATTTCCCTGTCCTGTGATGTGTGACACAGGAGACTAGGAGTTGGCATCATTGCTGTTGTTTATGTGACCAAGGTCCTGGGACTGGACCAAGGGCTCTCTGTAAGAGATTTTAGGGAGAAGGTTGGCCAATGGCCTCTGGTGCCGAGGACAACAGAAAATAGGCTGAGGTTCCCGACTTCCTGACTGGGCTGGCGGGAGGGACACCCGCTTCAGTTTCTGGCCACTTGAGGACCAGACTTGGGAAGAGGAAGCCCTATGACCCTCCACACTGTGGCTGAGGTCCTGTGAATGGAAGCATGTAGGTATGGCATATAGGGAGGCCCAGCTGAAGGTCAACTCAGTCCACCAGGTGGCCCGAGTGCCTATGGCCTTAGGTACAGTGAGGCGAAGACCAGGCAGTCTTTTGTTTTTTTGAGAGGTTTCTCTGTGTAGCCCTGGCTGTCCAGGAACTTGCTCTGTAGACCAGGCTGGCCTCGAACTCAGCTCCATCTGCCTCTGCCTCTCCAGTGCTGGCATTAAAGACCAGCCCCACAAGTGCATCTTGACAGGAATTGAGATCTGGGAGGTAAGACTGGCTAGGAAACTAAAAAGACCTCAGAAGATGGGAGTCACTCCAAGAAGGGGTGAACTAGGAGGGGCAGGGGGCTGTGTGGCCTGTGCACGCAGAGCCCGGTGTGGAAATATCCTCTGGGCCTGTGGTAGAGAAGTGTCTTACTGACATTTCTCCCGGGGAGCTTGGCCCCAGCTTCAGTGTTCTCTGAGCAGGGAAGGTGCTGGCTTTTTGGCTCACTGACGAGTTGTGAAGTGTAGGGGCCTCCTCCCACTCTCTTGATGGCCAGAACCCAGTGTTATTTTTTTACCTGGTGCCATGCCTAGGGACTAAAGGGTTCTGGAGTCAGCTGCAGACCCTGGGTCTGTCTGGGGTCCTGTTTTGTTACTGTCTGTCATCTACGCTAGTAGTCCCAGCCTCTCTCCCCCCTCTGCCTGCTTTAGTGACCACCAGTGGCCAGGCAGAGGGGGGGCACTTGCTTGTGCTATTCCTTATGCCAGGGTCAAAGTTGAGGGACATGGCCATGGACACTTGCCGCTTAACTCTCAGTGTTTGCTAGCAGTGACATTAATGCCAGGAAGAGACTTGACTTATTCAGGGTTATCCAGCTGGTTTGGTTTCAAAGGGGCCCTTGGGGCCACCTCATGCTAATAACACGGTCATTCTCTTGGAACAGGAGTCTAATTTATTACATTAGTATTAGGGTTGCTCCAGTTGGCACTCTCTTGGCCCAGCAGCTCTGTGATGGTACACTAGGCTCATGCATTGGGATCTACCCTAAGGGAAGCTGGGCATGGCTGCTTCAGGCCTGCTCTCTAGAGGGCCCGGGAGCCCCCCCCCCAATCAGGACACAGGGCATACTCAATATTAGCTAATGAACATTTGGCTTCCACCCCGCCCTGGGGTTGGAGCACCTGTGCCAGCAGCTTGCCATGCACCCAGGAAACTCACAGCCGGAACCTGAGATTACGGGGCTATCTGCAGGGCATCACGTAGTCAGAGGCATTTATCAGGCCGCTGATGCTGGTGACTTGGAAGGGTCAGGTGAAGGAGGAAGCCACATAAAGTGAGAGACGCTGAACACTTGGGAGTCCAAGGCATGAAGATTAGGAATTCAAGTACATCTGGGTATGGCGACCCACGCTTTTAGTCCAGCACTTGGGAGGCAGAGGCAGGCCGATCCCTTAGATTGAGGCCAGCCTGGTCTATGGAGCAAGTTCTGGGACAACCAGAGCAGAGTTCTAGGACAGCTAGGGCTAAGGGCTGGGGAATCTGGCTCAGTGTAAAAGGCTTAACCTGACATGTACATACAAGTCCTGGGTTCAGTCTCTAACACAGCAGAGAAGACAAAACGGGGTGAGATGACTAGCTGGCCCAGCAGGTGAGGGCGCTTCCTGCCGAGCCTGTGCTTCATCCCTGGGACCCGCATGGTGGAGGGAGGACACTTGGTCGTGCAAGTTGTCCTTTGACCTTTGCTGGCATGCCATGGCACACCCCAATTTCCCCGTCCATATAAAATAACTAAGAAACAGGCCGGGGGAGAGAAGATAGGCTGCAGGAGCAGACGAGCTAGTGCGCAGGCCCTGAGAGCAGAAGCCTGTGGCCAGGCGCTGGGAGGCAAAGGCCCAGTGGCTTGACAGACCGAGGGAGATGATTCGGAGAGGTCATGATGGGACCTCAGGACATTCTGTTTGGTTCAAGGGGCTACCCGAAGGAGAGGCAAGCTCACTGTAGAAATGATGGTGGCGCAGCCTCCTGGAGGGCCAAGGCCAGGGGGCCTGGGAAGGTTGCTGCTGTTGTCTAGGTGAGAGGAGTCACTGAGGCGGGCAGGTGGTACCAGGTGGGGACAGATAACACTCTGAAAGCAGGAGAGTTGATTTCTGATGAGCTGGGTGTCAAGGGCAACTCCCAGGTTTCAGGCAACTGGGTGGATGGGCTGAGCTGGGAAAGGTGACATGAGGGTGGAGAACAGGTTTGAGGGCAGAGCCACTTGCACTACAGTGCGCAAGGAGCATGGGGCCTACCCATGTGACATGCAAATTGGGGAGGGGGTTGTTGCTGAGCCGGCTATAAGCCATTCAAGCTTGGGCTGGTGCCTACTGCAGGCCGACACTGTACAGTTGGGAGTTGCCATCAGCAGTCGATTGTTTAAAGCTACTGCAGGAGGTGTGCAGGGGAGCTCAGGACAAAGCCCTTAGGTCATTGTGCCAGGCAGGTTTCCTTCTGCTCTCTGTGGTCTGTTGAGCCAGGACTGATGCTTCGCTGTGGGGTGCTGTCTGGATAGGCGGATGGTGAGTGCTGTCCTGTGGGTGCTGTCTGGATAGGTGTATGGTCAGTACTGTCCTGTGGGTGCTGTCTGGATAAGTGTATGGTCAGTACTGTCCTGTGGGTGCTGTCTGAATAGGCGCATGGTCAATGCCATCCTTAGCTACTACCTGTTAAGCACACCACTCCCTTCCATCATGTCTCCCAGGGTAAGAAAGAACTACAGGTGCGGTGGTGGGGTGGGGTGGGCTGGGTTCTGTCTCCTCTGTGATCCACGCTGCTGCTCAGCCTTGGGCAGACCCGTGGCAGGCCTTACTCTCATCATTGCCCTGTCTCTCCCACCCCATGTCTCCCTGCAGAAAGCGGGCGGCGGCCTGCGCCAGTGGAAGCGTGTCTATGCTGTGCTGCGGGCACGCTCGCTCTCGTTGAGCAAGGAGCGGAGGGAGCCCGGGCCGGCGGCTGCGGGGGCTGCGGCGGCCGGCGCAGGTGAGGACGAGGCAGCGCCCGTCTGCATCGGCTCCTGCCTGGTGGACATCTCCTACAGCGAGACCAAGAGGAGGCACGTGTTCCGGCTGACCACCGCTGACTTCTGTGAATATCTCTTTCAGGCTGAGGATCGGGATGACATGCTGGGCTGGATCAGAGCGATCCGGGAGAACAGCAGGGCCGAGGGCGAGGTGAGGCCCTGGGTGTATGCCCATCGGGCCACCAGGGCAGGGCAGGGCTCCTCTCAGCTGCTAGGACCTGGGGTAGCCACTCTGAGCCTCACTCCCTCTTCTAGAAAACAGAGCTATTGCGAGTCCACCTTGGGACTGCCCACCTGGGTTTGGGTGTGAGGATGGACACATACACAGGGACAGCAGGGCAGCTGGCGTCCTCAGGGACCAGGGACCAGCAGACACAATAACAGTTGCAGTCACACAGTAATTACTATTATTGTGGGGACTGCCTTGGGTAAGCTCTGGCCCAGAGAGGTCAGCTCCAGGCCAGCCGTAGCCTCTGGACGGACAGTGGACAATCTCCCATGGACCGTGTTGTAGAATGAGCTGTCATGCCCAGATATACTAAGTCTGGGGACAGTCACACTGACCTTAACCAGAGGCTTAGGCTTAGCCTTTGGCAGCAGGTGGGCAGGGGTTAAGCTAAGTTATTTGGTGGGGATTTGGAAACAGCTTTAAAAAAAAAAAAAAAAAAAGAAAGAAATGGCGTCTCTTGGGAGTCGCCGATGATTCCTGTTGGTCTTCTCTGCCCAGAGGTCATTTGTCATACCTGTGAAAGGAAGACACAGTCCTGGGCTTGGGGGTTGCATCCACCAAGGGTGGTGTGTCTACGCTCCTCCCAGGTGGCACCCGGCCAGCTCTCTTTCTAAGGACAAGCCCTTTCACTGTCGGGGTCCTCCCCACTTGAGGATCCTGGGTCCCCTGTTCCGGATACCTGGCCAAATTTCTCCTTAGTTACTGTAGTAGCCTCCCGTCTTGGTTGTGCCCTGCATGCCTGACGGACTTGAGAGGAACACTACACGGGGCTGCTTTGTCTACCCCGCTGTGCTTAGTGCTGAGGTGACTGAGGCTCAGAGATGTTAGGTGGCTTACCCAAAGTCACACAGCTGCCCAGGGAGTCCAGCCCTGGCCTTTGTCCATCCAGGGTCTATAATGTCCACCTGGTGGGGTGAGGCAAGGCTGAGGCAGGGGCCAGGGAGGAGCCCCGGTGGAGGTGGCTCTGAGCACTGATGGGGCTTCTCTCTCCTCCCTCGTTGCAGGACCCCGGCTGTGCCAATCAAGCTCTGATCAGCAAGAAGCTTAATGATTATCGAAAAGTGAGGTGAGGCCTGTTCCCTGGGACCGTCGGTGGGGAGGGAATCCTACAGGCCTGGGAGCTCCTAGGCAGAGAGTGCTAGTCCTCAGACAGGCCTGGGGGAATTGTCTCTAGTGGGAGGGGGTGGAGGCCAGTGAGAACGGCATGCTGGGTCACCCCAAATGAACACCCCCCACTTCCTTTTTCCCTCTGCAGCCATAGCTCTGGGCCCAAAGCCGATTCCTCCCCTAAAGGCTCTCGGGGCCTGGGAGGCCTCAAGTCTGAATTCCTCAAGCAGACTGCAGTCCGCGGCCTCAGGACTCAGGACCAGCCTGCAGGAAGCAAGGGTAGGAGGGCAGGGTGCATTGTGTGTGCTTGTGCGGGCAGTGTGTGTGCAAGGTTCTTTCGCATGTCTGCCCTACAGACGAGGGTCTGTAGCCTCAGGGTTTCAGGACTGGGAAGTTTCTGGATCCCAGTTGCCTTCCACAGCATCCTTGTTGGATGGACCTCTGGTGTCTGCTTGTGTCCTTTGGGAATGAGAGGGTCATTCTGCAGGTAGCATCCATCTTTATACTCTGGGCTACTAGGAAGCATTTCCTGGGCTGGAGAGATGGCCCAGTGGGTAAGAACACTTCCTGCTCCTCCAAAGGGCCTGAGTTGGGTTCCCAGAATTCATAACTACCTGTAGCTCCAGTTTCGGGAGATTCAACACTTCTGACATCTATGGGCACCTGCACTTGTACACTCGTAGACATTCACACACCCACAAAACACACCCACACATCCACACTTACACACATAATTTCCTTCTTTCTTTCTTTCTTTCTTTCTTTCTTTCTTTCTTTCTTTCTTTCTTTCTTTCTTTTTTTCGTTCTTTCTTTCTATACCAGCCACAGTGATGTGTTTTTGTGATTTTTTTTTCTTCTGGTTTTTCGAGACAGGGCTTCTCTGTGTAACAGTCTTAGCTGTCCTGGGACTCACTTTGTGGCTGAGACTGACCTTGATCTCATAGAATTTTTTCAAATTTTAAAAGTTTTTTTTAAAAAAATCATTTCTTTTGGTCATGCCACTCCATGGGGGTCCTTAAGGCCACCAACAACCTTTTCAGAGCCATGATCTTCCTGGGGACTAAGAACCTCATCTTTTAAACCATCTCTTTCTGGATGTGATTTTCAACCTCTGTAGTTCTTTGATAAAGTCCCCGAGTCCTAGTGTGTGTATGTGGCTTTGAATGTGAGCAACCCTCTGGACCCCTCCAGCTGATTCGAGTTCTCTTTGCTACTGTTCATTCCAGAAGACAGTGCTGCAGCTCCCAGAACCCCCTGGGGTATCAACATTATCAAGAAGAACAAGAAGGCTGCCCCAAGGGCATTTGGGATCAGGTTGGAGGAGTGCCAGCCTGCCACTGAGAACCAGGTGGGTCCCCGCGGTGCCAGAAGCAGGCAGTACCTGGAAGGCAGTGCCAGGGACCCAGAGCTGTCGGAATATGGCACCAGCCATTCCTCCTACACACAACCTGGTGGCCATCTCACAGAGGGGATCTCCAAGTCCTGCAGAGGGCCCACCTGAACTGAGACCCACCCTGGCTTTTTCCTTCTCAGTCAGTGGTGAAATGCTCACGCTAGTTCTGACCCTTAGAAGGGAGGCAGGCAGGGCTTCGTCTCCTTGTGTGTTCTTACAGCAGCCCTGGCCTCTGCGCTGTCCCCACATCAGCCTCCTCCAATAGCCCTAACTCCTCTGCCCTGTCTGTGCCCACAGCGTGTCCCCCTGATTGTGGCTGCCTGTTGTCGTATTGTGGAGGCACGGGGGTTAGAATCCACTGGCATTTACCGGGTACCTGGCAACAACGCAGTGGTGTCTAGCCTGCAGGAGCAGCTCAACCGTGGGCCCAGTGACATCAACCTGCAGGACGAGGTGGGTGTGGCAGGTGTGGCACGGCTGTTGGCAGAGGTCCGGGGACTGTCATGTTGCACTCACCACACGCTACTATATGCTCATCGTTGGGTCAGAGTGTCCAGGTGGCAGGAGAAAACCTGCCCGGTCAGTCAGCCTTAGTGGCATCTCCCCAAGGATGGCCCCAAAAGGAATGAAGCCCTGGGCTGATGGGTACTGAGACAGAGGCGGGTATTTTTGTTTGTTTGTTTGTTTGTTTTTCTCCAGTCTTCTCTGTAACCCAGGTTGATCTTTCTGCCTCTGGCTTCCAAGTGCTAAGACTACAGATTTGTGCCACCGGCAGGGCAGCTGTCCTACTGGCTGGATGACAGTTTTACATGAACACTTAGAAGGGCTGAGTTCACTCAGTTAAAGTCAAATATGGGCAGAGGGAGGCTGAACACTTGCTGAGAATTAAACTTCCAAGAATGCCAAGTAGTGCACATTTTAGGTCTCCTGCAATCAAATTTCTCCCCCTCACTCCTCCTCATCCTGCCTCCCACCCCCACAGTCCTTTAGCACCAGGCTAGGCAAAAAATGGGGTGCTGCTTCGGAGTGTGCAGGAAGTCAGGGCTCTGTGTGGGGCCCGGGGAGGGTGATGCTGGGGACTGTCTGAACTAGGTTGCAGCTCTTTGTGATGAGTGTGCATAGCATTTGTCTCCTGCTGACCATGTTCCCTGGCTTTCTAGGCACTTCTTTTCTGAGTGGTTCCCAGCAGAGTAGCTAAGCCTAGCTCCTGGCTACTGCATGTGGGGTGTTGGTGCCCCCTGGTGGACAGAATGGCCTCGTGCCTCGTGGTTTCTTCTCTAGTAGAGCAGTTTCTATACCCTAGCTCAGTGGCCATTTGGAGCAAATTATGTATTGATGTATGTGTTTGTGGTTTTTTTTTTCTATTTTTGTGGGGGGATAGGGTTTCTCTGTGTAGTCCTGGCTATCCTGGAACTCACTCTGTAGACCAGCTTGACCTTGAACTCAGAGATCTGCCTGCCTCTGCTTCCCTAGTGCTGGGATTAAAGGTGTGAGTTTGATTAAAAGACCCTGCTTCGGGGGTGGAGAGATGGCTCAGAGGTTAAGAGCCTTGCCTGCTCTTGCAGAGGTCCTGAGTTCAATTCCTGGCAACCACATGGTGGCTCACAACCATCTATAATGGGGTCTGGTGCCCTCTTCTGGCCTTCAGGCATACACACACGACAGAATATTGTATACATAATAAATAAATATAAAAAAAAGACCCTGCTTCACTGAATAAAGTGGAAGAGCAATAGAGAATCAAGCCTCCACATACATGAACATGTACCCTCCCACACACATACATGTATATACATGCATATGAAAATGGAAAAAGAACCCAGACTGCCAAATACTCCTGGGGGACAAAATCAACCCTCACTTAGGACATTTGGATCCCTGTCTGTCACAGAGCACAGCCTCCCAGGAGATAATGACAAACAAGGAAACAGACAAGGGCTGGAGAGATGGCTCAGTGGTTAAGAGCATTGCCTGCTCTTCCAAAGGTCCTGAGTTCAATTCCCGGCAACCACATGGTGGCTCACAACCATCTGTGATGAGGTCTGGTGCCCTCTTCTGGCCTGCAGACATACACACAGACAGAATATTGTATACATAATAAATAAATTGAAAAAAAAAGGAAGCAGACAAAACAAGCACCCGGGAGAAAGTAGGAGTGTGGGGCAGATGGCTGGGTGGCGGCGTCCGTGGCTGCTTGGGCTTTGGGAGTAAGGCAGGGTGAGGGGCCAATCCTGTGAAGGGCAGAGGTGGAGAGTCCAGTGGGGACAGATTGCAGAAGGGCCAAGGATAGGAAGGGGCACTTAGTCTGTGGGTAGTAGGCACACATAGGAAGGGGGCAGTATGTGAGGCCTGTGCTGTGGGCACTTAGTCTGTGGGTGTAAAGGGTCATACTTAGCTGGATGGAGAGCGTATGGAGGCAGGACTGACCCTGGCACTTGTGGATACACTGGAGATGTCCAGGGCACTCTTATGTGGGGTAGCTTCCCTCATTTCTGTCCCCCAATTTTGGGTCCTTTTGCTTTTTGTGGTAGGCAGTATTGAACCCACTGGGATAGCTAGAGTCAAGGTTGTGTTCTGGACAGGCATGGAGGCCTGGGCACTGGGGTGACCTGGGTACCCCTAGGCCTGGTATGGGACATGGGGCCATGGCACCTGGGATGAGCATGCATGTGTCCTGATCTCTCTGCTCCTCCTTAGCGCTGGCAGGACCTCAACGTGATCAGCAGCCTGCTCAAGGCTTTCTTCCGCAAGCTGCCGGAGCCGCTCTTCACTGATGGTGAGAGAGGGGCACACCCCATCCATCCCCACCACCCCAGCCAAACACATACTCTCTCTTTCCTTCTCACTCTTGGTCGTTGATTTTAATTTTGAGTTTTACTTTATGTGTATTTATTTTTATTATATTTTTTAAAACACCAAAGAAATGTGTGCATGTAAGACATGGAGTCTGTGCAGCTGTATGTTAGTCTGTCACTCTGTTCCTCCTCCTGAGGTCATGGCCACCCTCTGAGTTTTTATTATAGCCAGCACCGCTCCCTGTAACAGTCCCCAGATAGGGCTGTTATCAGACTCCTTCCTGGGCCAAGACACGGGGCTCAGAGAAGGAAAGTGACTTGCTAAGGTTACCCGGCCTGTAAGTGACACAGCCAGGGTTCCTCCTCAGGCTTCTGGCCACAAACCCGGCTCTAGCCCGTGTACTCAGCTGCATGTTATTAGCAGGACAAGCTCTTTTTTTTTTTTTAATTTTATGAATATGGGTGCTTTGTCTGCATGCATACTTACACACCAGAAGAGGGCATCAGATTTCATTATAGACAGTTGCGAGCTGCCATGTGGGTGCTGGGAATTGAACTCAGGACCCCTGGAAGAGCAACCAGTGCTCTAGACCTCTGAGCCATCTCTCCAGCCCCACCGCAGTAAGCTTTTTATGTGGTGCTGTGCATCAAAAATCCTGGTCCTCATGATGGCACTTCCCCCCAGCCATGTGGCCCCAGTCCCAAACAATATCCTTGTCAGTCCTTGTGCGTGGCTCATCTGGATGGACTGTGTTTTATGTGTTGGGGTGTTGGGGATGGTATTGAGGGCCTGGGCATGCTAAAGTCCTCTATTTGCTGGAAGTTCCATCCAAAATAACCTGATGGAAGCTGCAGCCCTAAGGAGCATGGGAAAAAGGGTTTATTACCTGCAGTATTGAGGTTCCCTGGTACATGCTTGGGAACCTCGGAACTGGGAATCTGAGGACTGTTGAGGCAGGTGAGGTGTCTGAAGGCCCTTTTTTCTGACCTACTGAGCCCTGAGATCCTTGGCCTGAAGATGACGTGGGGACGCATTACAAGGATCTGTGAAAAGCTCTGGTCTTCCAACACAAGCACTCAGGCTGCAGCAGTGCCTTCCCCCCTGGCTGGGACTCTAGTGCTCCTGAGAGGGGAGGGGCTGCCTCCCACCACTGAGGATCTCTCCTGTGTTCCAGACAAATACAATGACTTCATCGAGGCCAATCGGATAGAAGACTCAAGAGAGAGGATGAAGACACTGCGGAAGCTGGTAAGGACGGAAGCCCCATTGGACAGGAGGGCAGCCTGGTGCCACCCCCCAGAGGCTTCCTGCACTGAGAGCCTCAGTGTCCCCATCTGTACCAAGGAAGGGAGTTGGAGAGTGGGTTCCAGCTCCCTGCACTGTGGCAGTGGGAGTCTCTTCGGAGCGAGGTGGGAGGCTGAATTGGAGAGCTCACCACAGCCTCGTCCCTTTTTCCTCCTCCCGTCCCCTAGATCCGGGATCTCCCAGGACACTACTATGAAACGCTTAAATTCCTTGTGGGTCATCTCAAGACCATTGCTGACCACTCAGAGAAAAACAAGGTGCGTGTAGCTCCCCGGTGGAGTCTGGAAGCACAGGGTGCGTGGGATTCGCGCTTCCTCAGCATGATTTGGGACCCATTAAGGCCTCTCTCTTTCCAAGGCTGTTCCACTTCTACCACAGCAGGCCAGTGCCCAGCCTGCAGCAGGGCCCGCACCATTCCCTCAGAACCAGCTCCTGAGCTGCTGTGGGCCGTGTAGAGGCCAAGAGCCACAGTCCCCTGCAAGGTAGCACCGGTCCTCTGATCCGGCTCCAATACCTTCACTTATATCTTCTCATCCAGTTCTTTCTGTCTTTCGGTTCTGCAGTGGAGAAAAAGAGAGGGATGATGGGTTCCTCCTTGTTCTCACCGACCCTAGAATCTCCAGCATGCCTGCCACTCCAGGATTCCCAGTGCTCTCACCAGCCTCCAGAGCTGCCCTGGGTGGGTGCGTGAGGTGGGCACTGATCATGGCTGCCAGGCCTGGAAATGGAAGAGGCCAAACATCTGCCTTACACTTTACTTGGCAAACCTCTCTGTGCCCATGTAGGATATTCAGCCCCTAATCTAGGGACACATCAGGGTTGGGGATGGTGGAGTGAAGGAAGAGTGAGGGCACTGGTGAGCATGCTCAAAGCAATGATTCCCTCCCCAACCCAGATGGAGCCCCGGAACCTGGCTCTGGTCTTTGGGCCAACGTTGGTAAGGACATCTGAAGACAACATGACAGACATGGTGACCCACATGCCAGACCGCTACAAAATCGTGGAGACACTGATCCAGCATGTAAGTGCCCGTTGTGAGATTGAAGCCTGAGTGCTCAGCCTAGCGTGGGTGCCCCAGGATGCTTGCAACAGCACCTGCAGCCTGAGAGGCTACTGCGAGGGGGTGCACGGTCTTCAGCCGTGACAGGCGGCCACTACGGCCAAGCAGCAGTGCATCCAAGTCCTTAGCAGAGGAACAAGAGCGGAAGGAGAGTCAGGGAGGAACACGGGGCTGGAGGCTGGCTGCAGAGGGTCAGTAGAGGTAGCCTGCAGAACTTGGTACATGAGTGTGTGATTTGGGTGTCAGGAGATCTGGGCTCCAAACCCCACAGACTCTTGGGTCAGGGGTCACAGATGGTATAGGGAATGGAGCAGAAAGCAAGGCCACATCCTCCATGGTGCTCTGGTGCAAGCCACTGCTTTCCCTTCCTTCTGACTCCTGCAGAGGCCAAGGAGCCCCTGTATTCTAGGTCAGTGGTCCAGCCTTCCTAACGCTGCAACTCTTTAATACAGTTCCTTGTGTTGTGGTGACCCCCGACTATAAAATTATTTATGTTATTTCCTCATAACTATAATTTTGCTAGTGTTATGATTCATAATGTAAGTATGTGTGTTTTCTGATGGTCTTAGATGACCCCCATGAAAGGTTTGTGACCCATAGGTTGAGAACCACTGTGCTAGGTTCTTGCTTTTGTCTGGGAAGGATGAAGAAACCATAGTGGCCAACAGAGGGCGAAAGAGGCCTCTCTCTTCTGAAGCTCTCTCCCAAAAGGCAGTTCCGTCTTCCAGGGGCTCAGGGATGATTTTATAAATCAAAAGATTTCCTACTTACCAATCTGTGACAGCCACAAAGTGTGGACCCAGAGTCCTCTTCTGCAGAGGGAGTGAGGATAGCCATTGGTCCAAGGAAGGAAGCCCCGTTACCCCCACTTTATAGATGAGGAAATCGGGATGCAGAGAGATGCTGACTGACAGAAGGTCACACACCAAAAGATGGCTTCTCCAGGATTTCAGACACGTCCACCTGCTCAAGCCTGTGCTCCCCTCCCTACTGCCTCTCCTCCCTGCCAGGGCTGACTGCACAGAAGGCAGCTTCAGGGCAGGGAGTGACAGGAAGTGAAGGCAACAGTGGATCTCTTGCCGGCTTATCCGTCCTTTACTCTCCCCCGCAGCCCCCGCCCCCAGTCAGGGCCATGGCTGCAGAAGGGAGCATTAGGGCCTTTTCTCCCCCCAGCATGGGACCGGTCCCCTGGATGATAAAATTGCTGGCAGTACCAAATCTCCTGTCGCTCCTGTCAGGTTTTGTTCTCAAGCACCAGGATTCCCAGAGGCTCCCATAAGTGAAGCCATGGTTGGGAAGGAGGGCTTCTGCCTATGTGGTTTCTGGAGAAGCTGCTGGGCCTGAGGTCTGTGGCCATCACAGGACTGGACCAGCAGCCTTGAGAGAGAGCAGGCCCTTACCAAGTCAGTTTTCCCAAAGGCCGTGTCTGGTCCTGGGGGGTGGGGTGCCACAGGTGTGCGTGTCTGTCTTGGTGCCTAGCCCAGGGAGTGTGTGGTGAACATGCTGTGTTTACTAAGCTGAATGAGTCAGCAGTGAGTGAGTGGCTGAGGTTGGGCGGCCTGGGCTTTCCACTCAGGGATTCATTTCTGACAGAGAGCTGAGCTGGAGACCTTCGCTTCTCAGCCTCCAAGGCCTGGGGACATCTTTAACACTGAGTAGGCGCCACCCTCTGCAGCCCCCAGGCTGCCCACCTAAGAGTCCAGGTGGTGGCAGAACCAGCAGGGGTAGGTTGTAGAGACCAGTCAGGCCTGACCAGACAGTGACCATTGGTAACGTTAACTCCTGGGATTTCAGTTCAAATGGCTTCCAACAGGGGTTCCTGTCACAAAGGGAAGCCTAGGGCAGCCGCAGGGAGGGGTCCCCAGGCATCCAAACCAGACTTCATAAGGTAAAGGGTGGGGAGTGATGTGGGAACAAGACCGTGCAGAGCAGAAAGGAGTGCAGGCCCAGGCACTTGGCGGAAGTCACCCCACAACTCTGCTGTGTCCCCCAAGTCGGCTGGCGGCTGGCATCCAGCGCCCACGGTGGGGGACCCCTGCCACTTCGCAGCCTTGGCGTTTTTTTTTCTTTTTCCTGTTAGGGTTGGCATCCAGGGCCTGGGGAGCCCTAGGCCAGTGTTCTAGCACTGAGCCGCAGCCCTGACTGCGCCCTCCTGTGTCTTGGGAGGTATTTGACACCAGTGCTGGCCCCTAGTCCTCAATGCCAGGCTGTCTCATCGGTTGTGACAATAGAAAATTGGCCTGTGCCAGGCAAGAAGAGCAGCCAGCCTGGACGTCATAGAGTTTGAGAACAGCCGCAGTGGCAGGGCGAGGCCTATTTCCAGCTCCCAATTGCCCTTGGCATTTTCTCCCTGTTCCACATCTGCAGCAATTTGTAATACACTTTATGTTGTGTGTTCCTTAGACTGTGAGGACGTCCAGTACAGAGGAAGAACTAGGCTGGGACACTGCTTGACAATGATTTCAGCATATTTTGTTTTGTTTTGGTTTTTGGCTTGTTTGTTTTTCAGGACAGGGTTTCCTTGTGTAGCCCTGGCTGTCCTGGAACTCACTCTGTAGACCAAGCTGGCCTCGAACTCACAGAGATCCGCCTGCCTCTGCCTCCCGAGTGCTGGGATTAAAGGTGTGCGCCACTGCCACCTGACTGATTTCAGTACATTTAATGGCCTTTAGTTGGGTATTTTCGGTTTTCTCTATGTGAATTTTGGTCTCTTTCTAGAAAATTGTGTGTGTTTGCACATGCATGTGTGTGCAGTGGGCACACATGTGCCACAGCATGTGTGTACAGAAGTCAGAGGACAGCTTGAAGGAATCTGCCCTCTCTTTCCACCGTGTGGGACCCAGGTTGTCAGGCTTGGCAGCAGGCACCTGTGACATCTCATGGGCTCCAATTCCTAGGGTGTTTTTCCCCTGATTTGTTTTCATTTGTTTACTTATTCTTTCGTTTATTGTTACTTGTGTGTGTCGGGGCAGGGGGTGACGTGTGTGCCACTGCGCGCTTGTAGAGGTTAGAAGAGAGCGTGCAGGGGTCAGCCCTCTCCGCCACCAGCTGGGTCCCTGGGACCGCACCCTCTGGACCATCTCACTGGCTCTCCTGGGATTGGTTTTGGGTTTTTTTTTGTTTGTTTGTTTATTTTTTGGTGATTTAGTTTTCTTCTTATTTATTTAGTTTGCTGTTGTGAATGGTTTTTGTGTGTGTGTGTGTGTGTGTTTTTGTGTTTGTTTGTTTTTTTGTGGTTTCCTCTCAGCAAGTTTGTTTCTGGTATATAGAATGACTTGATTTTTGTCTGTTGATTTTGTTATTTGCTACAAGTGTTCACTGGATCCATGAATTTTCTGGTGGAGTCTTTTGGGACTTTTAAGTATAGGTTCATATTGTCTGTAAGTAGGAAGACTTTGACATCTCCCGTTCATGTTTGTACCCTTTCATTTCTTTCTCTCACTGCTCGGATGAAAACTTCAATCTCTGTATTGAAAGAGAATGATGAAAATGGCTGCTCCATCGCATTCCTGATGTTATGGGGAAACTTTCAGTTTTTCTCATGTAGATTAAGGTTGCCTCTGTTTGTCACATACTGACTTACCGTGTTGATATGTGTTCCTTATGTTGATAGTTTGTTCTGTGCTTTGGTCACAAAGGATCTTGAACTTTGTCAGAGGCCTCCTCTGCATCTAGTGAGGTGATCACATCATTTTGTACTTAATATATATTTACATGTCGTATTACATTTATTGATTTCCACATGTTGAACCTTGCACACCTATATGAAACCACCATGGTGTGTGATCTTAATGCAGTCTGGAGTTTGGCTTGCAAGTATTTTGTTGAGAACTTTTGTGTCTGCTCATTGGGGAGCCTGGTCTGTGGTTGTCTTCTCTGCTGGATCTATGCCTCATTTTGGTATCAGGATAGGTGACGTCAGCAGAACTCTCCCCTTTCTATTGGGGAACCATTTCAGGAGTGTTTGACAATTCCCGCTTCAATCTGATTGTTCTTATGGGTCTGTTTGTACCATCGTTTGGTTTCCCAGTTTGTTTGAATGTAAGTTTTCAAAGGTGTTTCCCAATGCTCTTCTAGATTTTCCTCTAATTGTGATTTTACTTCCCTCCCACCCCTAAGGAGGGTGTTGTGTAGCCCATGTTATATGACTAGGGCTAGCTTTGAACTCTTTTTTTTTTTTAAGATTTATTTATTACAAAAAAGATTTATTTATTTAATGTGCACTGGTGTTGTGCCTGTATATATTCGATGTGAGGGTGTTGGTTCCCCTAGAACTGGAATTACAAACAGTTGTGAGCTGCCATGTGGGTACTGGGAATTAAACCCAGGTCCTCTGGAAGGAAGAGCAGCCAGTGCTCTTAAACTGCTGAGCCATCTCTTCAGCCGCTAGCCTTGAACTCTTGATTCTCTTGTTCCCACCTCCCAAAGGAGGTGGTTGCAGGTGTAATCCATACCAGGCTAATTTTTCTTTTCACAGAACCGGCTTTTTAATTGTTTGATCCCTTTATTCTTTTAGTCTCTACTTCATTCGTTGGCATCACCTGCTTGGTGTGTGGCTTATTCTTGCTTGTGTAAGACCTTGAGGCACATCATTAGATGATTATCTGAGATCTGGTTTTTGTTGTTGTTTTGCTTTTGCTTTTTTTAATTTGATTTTTTTAAGCTTTATTATGTATACAATATTCTGCCTGTATGTCTGCCTACAGGCCAGTGGTTGCTGGGAATTGAACTCAGGACCTTCAGAAGAGCAGTCAGTGCTCTTAACCTTTGAGCCATCTCTCCATCCCTTGTAGACCAGGATGGCCTTGAAGTCACAGAGATCCACCTGCCTCTGCCTCCCACATGCTGGGATTTAAGGTATACATCACTACTGCCTGGATAGACTATCGTTTTTACTTAAATTTTTTTTGTGTGTGTGTATGGGTGTTATGCCTGCATGCATGTCTGTGCACCCATGGAGG